TTTTTTTCTTTTTTTTTGTTGCTCAGCAGTTTGCATGAGGCTTCGGGCGTCGACGTACCACTCACCAAATGTACAAAATGACAACGAATCTTCCGCTACAACGTGGAAAGATGCACCGCCATAATTTTTGTCTTTTGTGCATGTGGTGCCTTGTGCCGCGAGGCCCTTCTTCACACAGATACAGATATATCGGCCTACCTTCTTCACCTGAATAGAACGCCCGCGGTCATTATGGCTGCACCTGTGGAATGAAAGCTTCCCGCCCCCCGACACATRAAAAAAAACGTTTCCSCGAATATRGTTATTATGACCGGGCGTTCTATTCGGGTGACCACGGTTAATAGTTCAATTTCGTKAGTGTTTCGGGTCACACTGGAGAAGCCCSCTAAACGGTGACCCTTTTGTCAGCGGCCTGCGGGGCCGCGGGAGGACCCTTTTTTCTTTTTTTTCTTTTTTTTTTTCTACCCGGAGTTATCCCGGCAGCATCAGCCGGTTTAGCTTAAAAGTTCCAGATGGACCACTGATCTGTCACAGGCAAGAAACCATCTTTGCACATTATCTTTCAATCTGAGGGTGAGCCAAGCCCCATCTGACGGCTCAGTAMTACCTAACAATGCCTAGTAGGTCAAGCAAGTAGTCCAGAGAGTAGGAAGGGATAGAGGGAAAGAAAGGGAGAAAAGGAAAGACCACTCTGGAAATTCAATCATGAGCCGGAGGAMGTTTTCGGCCGGCGACGAGYGCTGCGGCTGGCGGCTGCGCTCGGTCCCCGCCCTGCTTACCSGTTCGTTTCGGTAAGCCTGTCTGGCGGCGGGCGTTTTCAACGCGAAAGCGCTTCCGTGGGTGATATCTCCTTCCCTTTCGCGTTGACGAAAGGATATGGCGAATTACCATAGTGATGATATCAGTAGGCAGCWACRTCCCCGACAAAACCTCTTCCTCACTGCGWTCATTGTTGTTCAACTGCGTGTAGCCGTGTGTGAAGTCTCTCTACGAAGTTTTGGTAGTCAAGGCGAAGCCTAGAGGTGTAGGTGCAGGTGAACATGGAGCCAGAAGCGAGGTCTCAGAGAGAGCAAGATGCGAGGGCTCAAGTTCCCGGTAATTACCAGTTGGAGGAAGATAGGCTGAAGGAGATGATTCGAGCGTGTTATGAGGAGGGGGCACTCCCTACCAACATCGACTCAGGCGAAATGGAGGTGGATGGGAGAGAAGTCAAGTTTGTGTTGAACGCCACCGTGGATGAGATCAAGGTGAGATGGTTAAAAGCAAGAACGGTTACCATTATTTTTCGGGATGGAGCTCGCTTCCTCCCGAAAAAAAGTCAAGGAAGATTTGGTTCGTGCCTACGACGATGTTTGGATTCGTGAAGAGACGTTTGGACAAGAGTTTAGGACGGGGAGGATCAAGGTTGAAAGTCCGAACGTGGTGTCGTGCATCCCAAGATCTTAAGAAATCACAGACTGGTTGCTGGCAAAGCGATTGGACTTTATAGACCTTGCCAATACTACCTATCGCACGGAGTTTAAGTCGTGGATCATAAGAGCGGAGGTACGAGATTGGAGGCGCACCGTGGATGAGAATGTCTTCTGGGTGGTGGCGGTTGGGATATGTGACGAACCAGCTTCCGGATCTGCGCCATCTTCCGGACCCCTTCTCTCCCCYGTATTTTCTCTGCGCCTTGTCGGCCCCCGAGATCCCCCTCCCCCTCCCCCTGTTTTTGTTCGATTAAAGGTACCTCGTTGAAATCTGTCAATTCTTTTTAAATTGMAAATGCATGGGAATTTCGCGCGCCTTAGYGAACACGCTCGGAATTTGGCTCGACAGTTAGGAATTCCGGAATTAAAGGAACGYGGCGCGACCTTTCRYGGGKGAATGTTCTCGGCCTCGACCTGGAAAACTCTGGGAATTCTTGTAGGAATATGGATGGACGAAGGACTTTCTTTCTTTCCCGCGCCTACTTTGTGCACAGATATGGTACTTTCAATTTTTGAATTAGCATAGGGTTGGGGAAAACTGCAACTATTCCGGTGACCATTCTCCTTTTGCTGATCGGCGCCATGCAAACAAGCTCCCTCCTCCTTCCTCCCTGTGCCCCGCTCAACGACTTCCTTCGCTCGCACATGTTTTCTCGCTCCCTCCCCTTGTAACTGTTTTTCCCTCTCCTTGTCAGCGCGCGCCCTTTTTCTCTTTCTTGATCATCAGAATCTTGGACCCGTTTCGCGCTATCCTTCGCACTCCTCTTCTTCCCGCTCTAAGACCCGCGCTCCAAAGACCCAACGGATCCTCTCCCCCCCCATCTAGCCAACGAGAAGCGTCGTGTAAGTTCTTACTGCACGACGATTCTAATTGGCTGAGATCGAGTTCAGAGGGATCAACATGGCTTTCGACGGGTGATTACTCTCAATCCCTCCCTTACCCTCCTCTACCCTACTCTTCGTCTTTCCCCTCATCCCTCTTCCTTCTCGCAACTATAAATTCCGCCGGCACACCCGCAAATGTCTCTCTCTCAACTCGTCAGCCAGCTTCTGGGAAGCAGTGGCTAGATGATGTGTGTATAGTGCGAGTCGGACAGTCCTGACGAGCTGACTGTAGACTGGCTGGTTGTGCACTAGATCACCACAACAGACTGTGGGATCCGGGCAAGCCACGTCGAGGCTAGAGTGGCGGGGTTACGATCGCGGTACTGGATGGTGACACGCGACGGCCGGGATCGTCGGTGCACGAATGAAGACGAGTGATTCAAGTTGAGTGGATGAGTGGTCCAGGGCCATGTTGGAATTTGACGGCGAGTACGCCCCCTTGTTGCGAATCCATTCTTTGGTGTGAGCTCACGGCTGTAAAGCCGGACCTTCTCTTGCATTCCCAGATCTCAGTGGACCTCTCCTTCCTGGCTTGATATTCTCACCAGTCTCTCTCTCTCCCTTCTTCTCTTCTCTCGCTGATATGAATAATCATGTATGGAGAGTCGATCTTTCGGTTTGTGATGGAATAAGCATTGTGAATGTATACTCGGAAGAACTTCTTTCGCAACTCTTTCATTAGTTTCCTGGGTAATCCCCGGACCTGCTGAGACTTGATCACCTTGTCTTGTGAACGGTGGATGTGCATGTAACAATCATCAAAAGGGATTGTGATTACTCGCTTTTGGCACAATAGGGCAGGGACATTGCATGGCTGCTGCCTTTCGCACCTTCCACAGTGAATGTATGCATATGGGCACGAAACTCGTCTTGATAAGGACACTATCCGACGAATCGATGACAGAGGCGAAGTTGTTGGGATTTTGTTCGAAATTGCAAGAGTGTTTGGATCTGTTGATGCTGTGATTCGGGACACACTGCACATGCTATCTGCCTTATACTGCACAATATATGCAACATACCCTCGTAGAATAATGAGGGACTTCAAAGCCACGTGCGATCGGTACACGTGAACATTGACCGCACCTCACCATACACGAGTCTTTGTCTGTCCCTCTCTCTCTCTGAAATTTTCATTCCTTCTTCGTTTTTTTTTTTTGGAATTTTGACGTTGTCCTTCTGGTTGATCGATAAGTTGTGTATTTCTCGGCCCTGGATCTACGATGAATGATTGAGGATGTTTTTGGCACCTGATTGATTACCATGTGGACTGACGGGCTCAACGCGACTAGGCGCCGGCCTCCCGTATCCCCACCTCGCCCCTTCCCGTATAATGAGGAAAGGACGCGTGTGTGTGAGTGAGACGTACGAGAAGCCGTCNGCCCCTTCCCGTATAATGAGGAAAGGACGCGTGTGTGTGAGTGAGACGTACGAGAAGCCGTCGGCAAGATCGGTGGGCGATATTACTTCCCTCCTGAAAATTGGTGTTCTGTGTTTGTCGGCGCTGGGTTTGTCATTATCGATACACATTTTCCGCCATACTCGTTACTATTACCATTCAACGAGTTGATCGTCATCCCATGGTCGGCAGTGGCGCCCCATTGGCCTCACACTCTGTGTAGTGATTGCCAACGCTTCGATCACTACCAATCAAAGGGCTTCCATTACCGAGTACGGAATGAGGACGAGCATAAGGAAAAAGCCACGCGATTAAGGCCGTCCACGTCAGATTCGAAATTGTGCAGCGTGCGACGTCGGGAGCTAGTCCGAAAGCGAGATACTAAGTACGTGCCCGCTCCCGTTCTCTCCAAACGAAGAGCCGTGGCTCGATGGGAGGTCCGACAGTATTTTCTGGATTGAATTCGAACTTTCCCGCGTCACGAATCCCGCGCGCGGGCTTTTTCGAAACCCTCGTTGCAACCGACCAGTTCTCTTACTTGATCAGACCAACACAGGGGGATTTCAGTTCTGTCTGTATCCCCACACTTAATTTCCAAAAAATCCTTGGCACACCCCATCTTGCTGTTTTTCGGGGCCTTCTTTTTGCACCCTTAACACTATGAACGAAAGACAGCGCAGGGCGTGAGGTTGGTATTGGAGCCGACACGTGTCGGTTCTGACGATAGTGAGACGAGATGGCGAGAGGAAGATCAGCTAAACAACCGAATCGCC